CTGACTTGTTGGCTCGACTGGCTGCTGACTTGGAACTGGCTGAGTTGACACAACTGGTGGACTTGGCTCGGCTGGCTCAACCGGCTGTGGCTGACTTGGAGCTGGCTGAGTTGGCTCCACTGGTTCAACCGGCTGTGGCTGAGCAACAACTGGCTCAACTGGCGGCTGTGGCTGAACTGCTTCCAGCTGAGTTGGCTCAACCGGTTCAACTGGCTGAGTTGGTTCAAGCTGAGTTGCCTCAACTACTGGTTCAACTGGCTCAACCGGTGGTGCCAGACCTGGTTCGACTCGCTGAGTTGGCTCACTTGGCTCAGTTTTCTCTACAGCGACGTTCTTACTGATCAGCAAGCGGGCAAGCTCAGCAGCAATGTTCTCCACAAAGATCTCCGAAGCAGATCCCCCAAGCCTAACTATTGACCAAGAAAGGGTTGGCCACAAAAGAATACAAAACATTAAAGAGCAAAAGACCATCTATTTGTCCAAGTAACGTTGCGTAAAGCTCTGACTCCGGCGTGTTCTGAGACTCCAGGACGGCCTTGGTTGCATCCGCAATCTGGTGAAGCATCTGCTGTTGGCCTTGGAGTAGAGTGTGCAGGCTGCACTGCGAGTCTCCTGCAACCTGTGACGTTTCCGGCGATGGACTGGTCTGCTCACGCAAAGGCCTCAACCTCTTCCTGGGTACTTCATCTAGGACAGGGCTTAGCACTTCGTGTTCGTGAGCTTCAGGCATTTCTTGATCAGGCTCTTGAACCTCCTCCTCTTCAGGGTCCTCCTCGAGATCTTCAGGTGCCTCCGGTGCCTCCACTGGCTGTTCGGTGACAGCTTTTTTGTTCTTTTTCTGCTTCTTCTGCTTCTTCTGCTTAGGAGCTTTTGCTTTCGCTGCCTTTGCCTTAGCTTTGGCAGCTGATTTTGCCTTGGCAGCCTTGCCTTTGGGAGCTGCCTTTGCCTTGGCAGCATTTCCTTTTGGCACGGCTTTGGCTTTGGCGCGCGACTTTGGTGTAGGTTTTTCCAAATCCTCTTCTGGCTCGGCTTTGGCCTTGACCCTCTTGCTATCCTGCATCTGAGAAAAGAAATATTGAGATTCCAAAAGTAAATCAAAATTCATCAAAATTTGTATATGCACATACTGTTGGTTTGAATTTATAGTCCTTCACCTTCCCAGGGGTCGCTGACGCTTTCCGGGTTTGGCCACGGGGGGGCGGAGTCTGCAGGTCCGATGACTTCAAAGCCTTCAGAACCTCCAAGGCTTCATCCTGATCCAAGCCAAACTCATTCATGATGCGGTCCAGGTCCATCGCCATAGAAACGTTCCACTGAAGCAAACTGTGTTGAATCTCGATATCAAAAAGGCTCCAAAACGATGGAAGTCCAATGCCAGCTGAAGAAAACAGGCTTGGAGTGTCGCAAAGTGTGATTCAAAACCACGATTTCCAAAATTTACGAAATTCACGCGGAAATGTTTCACAAATGGTCCGAAATTCATTACAAATCACGGAAATTCACGCTAAAGATTGTTGTTGTTTTTTACCCATTTCTCCTGGTTCCCACTTCTCTCACCACCAGAGCACCAAAAAGTACTCCGTGGCAGCGGTCATGTGGAAAGCTCTTGTCGCTTCCACCACCCCAAAGAAACCCCCAAATGCCAATGTATAGGCTCCTGTCAGGGCAGACCAATGATACATAAACACCACCTTACCTGCAGAACCCCTGAGTTCGCACACCACCAAAATCATAAATCCTAAAAAGCTGCTTCTGAAGCTGTGGTCCAGCCACAGGAATCTGAAGTCAAGACTTCCCAGTCAGCCCAATCAGGATCCACCACTGGTTGCACCGGACGATCGCCTAGGCTGACAGCTGCCCAACTTCAAAAAGATTTGGTCTTCAGAGTGGGGCGAGAAAAAACACCAAGGGCCAAGAGACAATCTTTTTCACTCACATAAAGCTAAAGCCACAAAGCCTACCGAGCACTATCAGCACGTTCCTTCAACTGCGCTGGTCGAGATTTCTTCAACGGCGGCTCACCAACCCGTTCTGCGTCCAGCAAATCCTCTGTGTCGTCCATCGTTGAGTCCGCTTTGTAGAATAGAGTGTACAGTTCCTGGGGGTTGCTCAAAAAGGACGTTGGAGGCGACCAGATAAGAAAGAACACATACAACAGACAAAACCTTCAATTCATCCCAACTAAGATTCCTCCTTGGCTAAGGGTGATAGCGCAAGCAGATGCAACTGATCCTCAGAGGTTCCAAAACTGTTTGAGACGGCGTGCCAAAACTGTCACCTGTTCCCAACAAACCCACTAAACAAGTTGATACGAGTCTCTGTGCACAACAACCGCAGCCGCAGCAGAACTATTTTCATGTTCATGATGGACTCGTCCAACGTAGGCGGTGGATCTGCTGTGAGATCTGAGGAGCTCATAGCGCACCCCAGCGATCAGTGGCCAAAAACTGCCAAAAAGTGAAACCGTCTTCCTGACGCCTCCCCCCTCATATATATGATATGTATATATGATATGTATATATATATATATATATATTGGCAGTATATATCATTGAACAGGGGAGGTACGAAAAGCCCTGCGGGTGAGCCAAAAACACTGCACATGAAAAAGTCCTGCGGGCTCAATGCAACCAGGTCGACCAGACCCAGTGACTAAACTGTTCCGAGTCACTGGGCAAAGACACATGCCTTAGATTTTCCCACTGCCCTGGAAGGTTCCGCATCACTGTCTGGCTGCTGCGAAGGTATTCCAATACTTCAGGAAGGTCGGCCTCAAGAAATGTTTGAGCCAAAACAAACTGAACTTAATGGTCCCCAAACACATGCCCACCAGTAGGGTGCACCCTGGAGAACAACCTTTCTGAAGCACATGGCCAGATACATCACACCACAAATCGCCCTCAAGGTTGTAGTCTTCGTCCAAACAATGCTTTCTGAAGAGTTCCCAATCTGTGAGACCTGGATCACACTCAAAAGGCTCGCGAGGCTTGACCTGAAACATAGTCTGTTGAACAGCGCCCAAGATCGCAGCCACAAAGTGACCAAATTGAGCAGTATATTGCCTCCAGTGTTCGTTGAACAAGGATGGACGCCAGGGTATACCCAAACAACTGTCCACCCTTCCCTGAAAACTTAAAAGTTGAGGAAAACACAAACAGTCCAGTAATGTGTGGCAAAGCACTGACTATCTTTCAGTTTTCTTTTGATCCCAGTGGTGCGGATAACGCCATTCTTATCCACATGCTTTGTGACCAGCGGCCCTCCTTGAAGCTCAATCCTGCGACTTTGAGGTAAATAGCCTCCCTTCGCCTCCAGTGTCATGATCACCGTAGAATCATTCGCAAAGATCATGTGCCTTTTGGGAGTTGGCCCTTGGAAGGCCCCCATCCAGAAGCCACCGCGGAAGACCTCACCAGTGGCCCCTTCACAAAACTTTTTGAACATAAAGAAGGTGCCCCCCTCCCTCCAACAAGTAAAAATTCAAGCCACTTCTGCGCGGCCAAATAGTTCTTGCATACGCGGCATATCTGGGACCACTGAGCCAGCTGGTTGCTCCAGGAGGAAACGAACTGAGCAAATACAGGCAAGCCAGAAGAGCAATACCACCCGATTGCGCAAAGTATTTCCGATGTTGACAAAGTCGTAAGCACAGCAGCCAAGAGGGCGGAAGGCAGAGCGCCCTGAAGTTGACCGCGACCTTCAGTACCAACATCCATGAAAGCAATTCTGTTGCAAAGGGCCTTTTCGCACAAACACTTGGAATATAAAACTTGTTCAAAACTTGGCCGGGGTGCATTCTACAAAAAGAATTGCACAACAAAGCTGCAACAGCCAACCCTCCAGATCTGATTCGGCAGATCTGCGACATGGCCAGCCTGAACAAATAGAGGAAGAAGCAAAGACGCATTCAAATAACGCACCAGGTGAAAAATATACAGCCAAGAGGCAAAAACCCTGCTGGACTTGTCAGATCTTGTGTACTGTGGTCATACTCCACATCCACAGCCACACCAGCAAAATTGGCCTCCCAAATAGACTCGGACCGACTGTTTCTGTCTTTCTGTCTACAAGTTCAATTTTTCATAGAAAAAACTCTTGTCAAGTCAAAGCCTCCCGCAGCCCTGCTGTCAGGGCCCCACATCCTGCAAAAAGCTCGCAAAAGTCCAGCTCTGCCGCTGGGGTGGTCTGGCTGAATTTGAGAAGCACGACCAGGTAGATGGCCGCTGAAGGAAACCGCCAGTGAAGCATGTCTTTTACTGAGGGAAAGACCATCACGCTACCCCCCACGAAAATGTGAACCCAGCCTATACCCAGAAGCCAAAAGTCAGCTGGTGGATGAATTACACATGTGGCATCACATGCATCTTCGAACTGTGTTGCGTGTGCAAGTTGTGTACCACAGTCCAAAGTTGTTTAAAAGGAGTCGCCCACTTCTTTTAGCACCCCAGATCCTGAAGGACCAAACTTCACTCCTAAAAGCGCCTCTTCTTGCGCTCACTCTCTGAAAGATTGACGAGATATTTTTCTCGGATCTCTGACCCCATCCAAGCCTTTACAGCTTCTCGATGTGACAGGCCATGGGACTTTTGCTCACAAACAAATTCATCAAAAAGCGCCCGAAAGTTACCAGGCTTGTACACTTGCCCTGTTGATTCCTGGTTCTGACTTCGAACCACGCATTGCAGCACCACCTGTTGAAGACGCTCTGGAAGAGCAGCTGTGGCTGTTGGCTTTTGCGCGGCTGATGGTTTTGAAGCTTCGAGCTTGGACTTCGCTTTCTTGCTTTTCTTTCCCTTGTGTTTTTTTTGTTTTTTCTTGGCTGCCTTGCCCTGTGCGCCTCCAGTTTTGGAAGCTGGTTCATCTTGCTCCTCAACAGCAATCTTCTCCACCGGTGGAGGGCAGGGAATCTTCTCCAAGACCTTGAGAACCTCACTGAAACCCAAACAAAGAAACTACATGTCAACTAGTTGTACCAGATCGGAAACAATCGTTGAACAAATTTCTGGGAAAACTATGGCCTTGTCGGAGATTTTTGGTATCTCCTTGATGCGATTGGTGGTCGAAGTGGTAGACACTTTTGGTAGCTTGCCACTGGTATCCGGCAAGTCCATCTTGGTTGTGATTGGCAAGCTCTTTCCTGTCCCAACCATACCTGTTGGAAATTCATTCTTTTTTTCCTGGATCTTGGCCACAACCTCCAAGATCTTTTCCATGTCAAAGCTGCAAGAAGAGCTCGATCGCTCAGATTCACTTTCTGCGCCAGCATCATCCTCCAAAGTCATGTCCTGATCCTCCACCATGCCCTTTGCGTCCTGCCACAGATGGAAAACAAGTTTATGGAAGGACTGAAAGTAACAGAGGCAAATTCACATGTAAAGAAAGCTAGCTCTAGTCACAATCGAGGAGCGATGAAACCTGCAATGTCATCACGAATCCATTGAAGTTCTTTGGATTTGCTGGTGTTGCTCCGAATAGCCAATGGACGGAACCGTGCAGCCTAAAAATCAAGAACCACTGGTTTCAGGAACGAGGCACTGCTCAAGGCTCAAGACCACAAAACCTTTAAGTTGCCAAGCGTCCAAACGTGCAGCTGCAAGTCCCATCCTGGCTTTCCACTCATGGATGCTAGGTAGACCGGCATGAATCCCCTCTGGCCATAGGTTGCATTGATCATAGAACATCTGGATACCATCAGCGCAAGTGAACTTGGAAAAGTATCCACGTCCACGACTGCATTTGAGTATCGCAGCCACCACCTGTAGCAGGTGGCCAAATGCTGGGCCTCTACATTTCCTTTTCCACACATGTTTAGTTGATCCATGAAAAATATGGATATATATATATATACACATGCTTTTTGCGGTTGCTACTTCAGAAGCTAGATGGCCTCCTTGTTGGTTTCCACATCCTTTAGTGAGCATTTCTTGGTGGCTGCCCTCTTGAAACACCTGCCGGAGTAGTCTGTGATGAGCGAAAGCCCAACCTCAAAAAAAGAACCAGGCCACAGAAATGCCAGGTATGTTTCTGTTTCACTGTTTCGCTAACTTACGCCCAAGATTCTTTCTGAAGCCTTGGATAGGCTTTCAGAGCTTCTGCCACATCTTGGGCTCCATAATCAGCAGTGTTCCCCCATATCTGCTGAACCCCACCAAGGCTGTGACACAACAAATGGCTGCGAAAGATCACAAGTGACATCTTTGCGTGTACACAACTCCACTCCCAAGTCTGCTAGCACCACAGGGAACAGCAGCGCCTGGAACAGTAGCCACTGATTCATCATAAGTCAACTCGCCCAGCGTGTCCATTGCTGGAGACATGTGGATGCTCTAGATTCCGGCGGTTCCTCGATATTAGATACTAAAAGTGAGGCCAATGTAGCTGAATCAATCTGCCACTCAGCCGTGTAAAGGTGTGTGTGTGGGGTGCAATGCCGCTTTGCTAGCAGAATCGGTGTGACAAGAATCCTTCCTTGTGTTGCTTTTGTTTTTCATGGAGCAAGAGGATCTTGTTTGTCCTTCCTTTTCTCCACTGAGCCATGTCAAGGGGCTCGAAAAACCCTGGGTCGCACGACGCTCCAGTGACACGACGTCCTTCAAAAAAGTTCAAAAGCAAAATGCAAACGCCGACTGTCCAGTGCTAGCTCTCATGCAGAAACATCCTAAAAATGACCCTCTCCACTATCTGGTATCATATCACAAGAAAACTTGCATGGTTTCAAAGACCTCTCCTTCCTCTTTTAACACCAGAACTATATTGTGAAGGATCTGGGCATGTGTATAATCTCTGAACATCTTTGAATGCAGTAGAAAGATATATATATATATATATATCATCTGCTAATATCCAAACTAGCATGCGTTTGTTTGCATATCTGAAACTATCAGAGTTAGCATGTGCTTGCATGCAAAAAGCAAAGGGTTTCTAGCTTTCAAACATCTGAAACTAACAGAAGTAGCATGTGCATGCGCACGCAAAACCCAAGTGTAGTTATTTTTTGCAACCATTTGACAGCATCAGAACTAGCATGCGTTTGCATGCAAAAACCAATGTAACTATGGCTTGTAACCATCTGAAACTATCAGAATCAGCATGCATTTGCTTGCCAAAACCAATGGAATTCTTGCTTTCCAACATCTGAAACTATCAGAATTAGCATGCATTGGCATGCAAACACCAATGGAATTCTTGCTTTCAAACATCTGAAACTATCAGAATTCATGCATTTGCATGCAAACACCAATGGAATTCTGGTCTTCACATGTATCCTTTGCAAGGCCACTTCCAGAAATTCATAACAAATGGTCTTGAAATGACCAAACGTGATGACGCTCAAAAAAAGTTTAACAAACACGCCTCTAGGGGTGGGAATGCACGACTATGAAGATGATGGCGACACCTATGCCCAATGGGTGGACACGTCCCAGATGTTGGCCGACGTTCTCACCAAGCTCGGGTGCGAGCGAGAGCCTTTGCTGAAGGCCCTAGAAGACGGCCTGTTTAGGACCCTCCCTACAGAGGAGGCACAGCACAAGAAGCTGCTGATCCGTGCCGGCCGCCACGCTCGAAAGCAGCGGAAGAAAGCTGAAGGTGAGCCCGACAGTCCACCAAGGACGGGTGAAAATCCGACAGCATGAAAGCAAGGCAGCGAGGCATGAGGTCAGCGGTGGTGGACATGCGCACTCACCGCAGGGCGCCCTTTGGCACAAGGGAAAAAGCGCCATCCCGCCGACGCGCCGCCGTCCGGTTTTTGAGATAATTATTTCCTCAGGTCATCCATAAGCAGTTCTGACACTGGAAAGAAACACTTAGGGACTTGGGCATGTGTTCCATTTTCACAGGCAAAGGTGCCCAAGACCTCTCTGAAACTAAGTGCCTTAGATTCAGGCCAGGCGACAGTGCTTTGGCCTTTTGGGAAATTTGGCTGAATGGCTAAATGATGCTAAATGATGCTGAGGCTGCAGTGGCCATGCTCAATGACTTGCAGGAGGCTTATCGCTCGGAGGAGTTTCAGAGGCAGCGGGGAGAGCAATGGGAGAGCCAGGGCAGGTGGCAAGGAATCCACACGAGTCCTCCGCAAAGGGGAAGCAAGTTCAGAACTGCCTATGTAAAAGTACCATTTGCTTTAGCTTTGACAAGTATTGTGGTTGTCTTCCATTCCAGTGGGTTGTTCTCCTTGTTTCCTGAACTAAGAGCAGAATTTGCTGCTCTACTCCCTTGCTCTGCAGGTGGATTGTTTAATCCAAGTCAAGTCTTTGACAGAGTTGTCATCCAACAGCAGACATAGAACTGATGGCATCTTCTGATGGTTCAAGCCAGGCAGGAGCATTCACACCACCTTCCATTCCACTCCAACCTTTCATTTGATACGAATGACCTCCTTGCTTGGTGTCCTTCGGTTTGGCCTTTTGACCACTGGTGCTTGCCTGGACGTCAAAGCAGACAG